AACTATAAAACATTGCAAAAACAAATTAATAAAGACTTAAAAATGGCGATATGAACTATTTTCATGTAATGAAAACATCATCAAGTTAAGAAACTAAATGTTTGATTTTGAGTTTATTTTTGTGTATGGCTTATGAAAGTGGTCCAGTTTCATTCTTCTGCATGTGGCTGCCCAGTTTTCCCAACACATTTGTTGAGAAGACTGTCTTTTTTTCCATTGGATATTCTTTCCTGCTTTGTTGAAGATTAATTGACCACATAGTTGTGGGTTCATTTCTGGGTTTTCTATTCTGTTCCATTAATCTATATGTCCATTTTTGTGCCAGTAACATACTGTCTTGATCATTACAGCTTTGTAATATAACTTGAAGTCAGGAATTGTGATGTCTCCAGCTTTGCTTCTCTTTTTCAAGGTTGCTTTTGCTATTTGGGGTCTTTCGTGGTTCCATACAAATTTTAGGATTGTTTGTTCTAGCTCTGTGAAAAATACTATGGATATTTTGATAGGAATTGCATTAAATCTGTAGATTGCTTTGAGTAATATAGACATTTCTATATACCAATTCTAAATGTGAGACAGGAAACCATTAAAATCCTAGAGGAGAACACAGGGAGTAACCTCAATGACATCAGCTGTAGCAACTTCTTACTAGATATGTCTCCTGAGGGAAGGGAAACAAAAGCAAAAATAAACTATTGGGACTTCATCAAAATAAAAAGCTTCTGCATAGTGAAGGAAACAATCAACAAAACTAAAAGGTAACCTTTCGAATGGGAGAGAATATTTGCAAATGACATATCAGATAAAGGGTTAGCATCCAAAATATATAAAGAACTTATAAGACTCAACACCCGAAAAGACAAATAATCCAGTTAACAAATTGGCAAAAGACATGAATACATATTTTTCCAAAGACACATAAAAACATGCTCAACACCACTCATCATCAGGGAAATGCAAATCAAAACTACAATGAGATATCACCTCACACCTGCCAGGACAGCTAAAATTAACAACACAGGAAACAAGAGGTGTTGGCAAGGAACCCTCTTGCACTGTTGGTGGGAACACAAACTGGTGCAGCCACTCTGGAAAATGGTATGGAGGTTTCTCAAAAAGTTAAAAATAGAACTATCTTATGATCCAGCAATTGCACTACGAGATATTTACCCAAAGAATATAAAAATACTAATTCAAAGGGATACATGCACCCTGATTATCAACAAATAGACAAATTATGGAAAGAGCCCAAATGTTGATTGACTAATGAACGGATAAAGAAGATGTAGTAGAGGAGATCGATGATAGACAGATGATGATCGATAGATAGATGATAGATGATAGATAGATGATAGATAGATAATTGATAGATGATAGATAGAAATATATACAATGGAATATTTCTCAGCCATGAAAAAGAATGAAATCTTGCCACGTACAATGACATGGATGGAGCTAGATACTATTATGCTAAGCAAAATAAGTCTGTCAGAGAAATATGATATCAACAAACAAAACAATCATGGATGGGGGGAGAGAGAAAACCAAGAAACAGACTCTTAACTATACAGAACAAACTGTTACCAAAGGGGAAGTGGATGTGGGGATGGGTTAAATTAACTCAAAATAGATCATAGATTTATTTAAATGTAAAATGCAAAAATATAAAACCTCTAAAAGATAAAATAGGAGAAAATCTAGACTACATTAGGTTTGAAGATGACTTTTAGATACAACAAAAGCACAATCTATGAAAGAAAAAATGAATAATTTCAATTTCATTAAAATTAAAAACTTCCATTCTACAAAAGGTGTCATTAAGAGAATGAAAAGAGAATCCACAGACTGAGAGAAAATCTTGGTAATTATCTGACAAAGGGCTTATGTCCACAATATACAAAGAACACTTAAAACTCAACGATAAAGCAAATAACCCAATTAAAAATGGGTAAAATATCTGAACAAATACCTCACCAAAGATGGCAAAAAAAATATGAAAAATTCTCAACATCAGATATTACAAATTAAAACAATGAGATACCACTAAACAACTTTTAGAATGGCTAAAATCCAAAATTCTGACAACACCAAATGTTAACAAAGGTATAGAGCAACAGGAATTCTCCTTCTCATTGTTGGTAAGAAAACAAAATGATGCAGCCCCTTTGCAAAACAGTTTGGCAGTTTCTTACAAAACTAAACATACATTTACTATATGACCCAGCAATTGCATTCCTTGGTATTTACCCAAATCAGTTGAAAAACATGTCTACACGAAAAACCTAAGTTTGCAGCAGCTTTTCTGTAATTGCAAAAAATGAGAAGCAACCAAGATGTCTTTCAATAAATAAATTGATTAAACAAACTATGATACATCCACACAATGGATTATTATTTAGTAATAAAAAGAAATGAGCTATAAAACCCAAAAATCATTAAGCAGGAAACTTAAATGCATATTGCTAAGTAAAAGAAAGACTGTATGAATCCAAATAGATAACATTCTTGGAAGGGCAATACTACAGATATCAAAAAATCAATGATTGCCAAGGACTCAGATGGATGGAGGGACAAATGAATTGATAGAACATGGAATTCAAAACAGTGAAACTCTTCTGTATGATACTATAATGGTAGATACATGACATTACACATTTCTCAAAACCTATAGAACTCTGTTGCACAAAGATTGAACCCTGTTTAAACTATGGAGTTTAGGTAATAACATATCAATATTGGTTCATCAATTTTAACATAGGTAGCACGTTAATGCAAAAATATTAAAACTTTGTGCAGGGAGTAGGAGGCAGAGAATGGGATATATGGGAACTCTGTACTTCCTGTTCAATTTTTCTATAAACCTAAAACTGCTGTAAAAAAAATTAATTCCATGGGTGGCTCAGTCAGTTAAGCATCTGCCTTTGGCTCAGGTCATGATCCCAGGGTCCTGGGATCGAGCTCCACATCGGGCCTCCTGTTCAGTGGGGAGCCTGCTTCTCCCCCTGCCTGCCGCTCCCCCTGCTTGTGCTCTCTCATTCTCTCTCTCTCTCTGACAAATAAATAAATAAATAATTTTTTTTAAAAAAAAAGTTAATTCCACTAATTATGAATTGAAGCAACATCAAAATTAAATAGTGGTATAAAAACAGAGTGGAATGCAAAGGTAGCTTTTGTCTTGTTGATTAGGCTATGGTATCAAATAGAATTTAGAGAATGGGAAGAGAAGAGAATAAAGTTTGTCTGGGTAAGATAAAAAAAAAAAAAGGGTACTTTTAACAGAAAAAGAGTGTATACAAGTAAAACTGAACAATATTGAGACAGTAGATCTATACCAAAGGAGCCCAGGGACTGAGGAAGCTGCCATGGAAAAAGATAGTTCATGGATACAGAGAATAGATTGGTGGCTCCCACACATAGGGGGTGGAGGTGGGGTGGGCAAAATGGGTGACAGAAGTCAAAAGATACAAACTCTCAGTTATAAAATAAGTAAGTCATGGAATGTAATGTATATACAGGATGGCATCTATAGTTAGTAATGCTGTATTGCATCTTTGAAAGTTGCTAAGAGAGTAGACCTTAAAAGTTTTCATCACAAGAAAAAAATTCTTGTATGGTGTGGTGATAGATGTTAACTAGACTTATTGTGATGATCATTTTGCAATATATACAAATATCATACACTTGAAATTAATGTAATGTTGTATGTCAATTATACCTCAATTAAATGAATGAAGAAAGAGACAGAAAGTAATAGACAAAAAGAAAGAAAATATTTTTAAATCATCACTAACATTTCTACTATATTTTATTCTTTTGGCTTGGTTGGAGGATATCTTCCATCAGCCCATATGTGGGCATAAAGACTTCTGGTTTTGTCCATGATAGAGCATCAGGGACTAGAATTAACTTTCACTTTAAGCCAATTAAAATCTGGATGAAAATATGTGAAAAAGCAATATTCAGACATTGGAAAACAAAAGGTGCAAGACAGTAATCTCTGACAGAAGGAAAAGAAAGAAACAGAGCCCTTTGATGACCCCATCTTACTTCCTGAAGTTTCCAGGCCACAGCAAAAGGAAGGGGGACCCAAACAGAGTCTACTGTTCTCCTGGAGTTCAGAGACAAGGTTTAGAGTTTTGGAAGCCCAAAGAAGCTAGAATTCAAAGGGCTCAGCATTAGAGAGAAGGCAGGTACACAGAGAGAGAGAGAGCTCCGTAGATGTGCAGAGGGTTTCCTTTGAGGTAGAAAGAAGTTTTCACTATCCACTCCAAAGCTCTAGATATCTTTCTCTCCATCTAGTCATTCAGGACTCTCTTGGATCAAAGATGTTTACAGAACTTGGGAGTGCTGTAGCATCAGCCTGCCCTTGGCTTAAATATGGCAACATTAGGGTTTAAAACTGAAGTTGAAAGAGGACAGGATTCCCATCAACCTTTTCCAACCAAATCTTATTTTCCACTTCTAAACTGTATTCTATAACATACATTACATGATTGCTTCAAAATTCTTTCCAGTACTAAGACATAAGCAAGTTAATTTCTCCTTTCTGTTGATAAGTAGTCAAAAGTTTAACATACTAGTTCTAGCAGCTCTTCATATTCATGAACTGACAGGTACTCAGCTGTTGTCACAGAATTAGTGCATATGGGATGACCTATAAGTCATAGAAAAAAAATCTGCAAATGACCTCTTAAATTTATCACTGTTCATCTCAAAGTCCTAGCACTCCTGAAACACTTCAGTAGCATATTCCAGTCAAAACTAAAAATCCTTCAATCCAAGTGATAGCAAGATACTCCTCAAAAATTAGTCTATTTGTAGCATGTAGCCTTGACTAGGAATTTCAATACTTGCTTGATAGCCTGCTCAACTGTATGGCTCCAAACCCCAAGGAATCTATGTTATTACCATAATAATAACCTTAAATTATAGAAAATTATAAAAATTAATGCATTTGACATGTTATTCACACAATAATGCTTAAACAAGTAGAAACTTACGTGGATCAGTTGCAGAAACATCTATAAATTCTTCAGTTGAGTGGGTTTTTATGAATTCTGAAATAATAGTAAGTTTGTCATATGTTTCAAATATCAATTATATGTATTGAGTTTAAATTTCATAGTTTTTTTTTTTAAATAACTCATTAAAGAGAAAGAAAACTCTAAGAAAAACAACAGAGCCGTCCACACTGGAGATCCCCCCAGTCAGGCAACAAATGGTAATATCTGAATGAATGTATATAAACTAAGTGATAAGAACTCATCATTTTCTCAACAACACTTATTTTTCCTCTTCTATTCTCTTAATATTACCATGATTTAATCTCCCTTCCTTTCATATCCAGTCACCAAGTTTTGCCCATTTTACCAGTAAATTTTCTCAAATCTGCCCCTTTTCTTCTTATTTGTGCTCTAATGTAAGCACTTATCACACACCTAAAACAGAGCAATAACTTCCCTTTCCTACTCCTAATCCCCAAATGTAGCTTCTACAAATGGCGAGAATAATCTGTCTACAATTGAATCCAATGCCACTTCCCTACAAAAAGTCTTCAGTGATTCCCTATATATGAAAACAAAATTCCTCAGCACACCATCCAATCCCTCTGATTGGCCCTTTCTTACCATATCCTCTGATTGGCCCTTTCTTACCATATCCCTACTTATTGCTGCACATTCTAATTCCGTTCTACTTGTAATTTCCTACTCATGCTGTTTGTCCATGCTACATCCTCTTTGTAAAATAGCAGATATTTCCCTTCTTCACTTGACTAAATTTTATTCATCCTTTAAGGTTGCGTAGAATCTTCCCAACTTCCTTGGGTTGAACAAATTGGCTCTCTGTGGACTCACGGCAAATTACATATAAATTTTATCATGTGTTACACTATGTATTAAAGTGATGCATAATGTGCTTGTGTCCTTACTAAGTTATGTATTTTATGGTGGCTAACAACCACGGTTTATTTGTTTTGTTCAACTCCCAGAATCTGAAACATAAGAACTTTTATTGAAAATATCAAACTCACTACTGAATATCTTTTTAAATTTGCTATTGTATAATTTTATGGCTATAAATTTTTAAACTGTAAGTCTCAAAATGTTAATGTAATGTAGAAAACCCTATAAATGCTAAACATGTATAAAATATTATCACCTTCAATTATCTGCTGTACAGCTTCGTAACTATGTACTCCTGGTGAATTTTCACTATCCCTGTTAAAATTTTAATAAGTACAACATTTATTTATTATCAAAGAATAAGAGTTAAGAAATAGAATATATACTCTAGATATATGTAGTTTATAAAATAAAATTTAACATAATCTTTAACCTTTATTCAGACACTAAGGTAAATCAGTATAATTGCAAGCAAATAAGTATAAAAGTCACACTATGTAATTCTATGAATGCTATTTATTCCATGAATATAATTAGGTATACCAACAATATTAACAACAAAAATAGCAAAAGTAAATTGGGTAGAAGCATGAGATTTAATAGTGTAATTGTTAAGAACACAAGTTCTAGAGTCAAACTGCTTGGCTCAAAACTTGTTTTACGCACTTTACTAATTTATGATTTGGGGTAAGTTACTTAACCCCTCTGACTTACAGTTTCTTCATCTATTAAAATTCGGGTATTAGAGTACATATCTCATAAAGTAGTGGTAAAGATCCAATACATGTAAAGTTGCAAGGAAAATACCTGTACACATCAGACACTTAAATTTCAGGTATTACTATTAATATATGGTCTGAAACTAATTTTGTGCCTCACAATAGATAACTCGAGTGACTCTCTCTGAGCCTCTGAACGAAGGTTCCAGTTAGGTAGTGCTTACTGGAGCCAACTCAAGCACCACTCCTTTCATTCCTTTAAATCTAGTCATTGACAGAGATATAAATAAAGTAATTGCATAATAAACAGTAGTTCCTCCCAGTTATTCTAACACTGTAAAATAAATGGGTTTAGTATATGTCTAATGCAAAACATGGCTATATGTAAATTTTTACTTAGATAAGTTACTCTACCAGATATAGTTGGCAATAACAGAATAATAGGGGAACAAATGAGTTTATTTAATTCAGATACTCATAAAGTTACACATATTTATTTACTGTCTATATGTGATAGGAAATATGTAGATGTGTGTGACTAGTTCTGAACTTGAGGAAATAGTCTTACCAGGAAGACTTACACATAAATCATTAATTCATAATACAAAATTACTAGGTACAGGCGTACATTATTTTATTGTGTTTCACTTTACTGCACTTCAAAGACTGCATTTATTACAAATCGGTTTGTGGCAACCCTGCTTATGGAAAGTCTATCAATGCCATTTTTCCAACAGCATCTGTTCACCTTGTGTCTGTGTCATATTTTGGTACTTCTCACTATATTTTAAGGTTTTCATTATTATTATATATTGTTAAGGCTATCTGTGATCACTGATCTTTGATGTTCCTATTGGGATTGTTTGGGGGTACCATAAACCATGCTCATATATGGCAGCAAATTTAACAAGAGCTGTTGTGTGTGTTCTGACTGCTCCAGCTAGCCTGTCCCCCACCTCTTTCCCTCTCCTTGGGCCTTCCTATTCCCTGAGACACAACAGAACCGACATTAGGCCAGTTAATAACTTTATAATGGCCTCTCAGCGTTCAAGCTAAAGGAAGAGTCTCATGTCTCTCACTTTAAATTAAAAACTAGAAATGATTAAGGTTAGTGAGGAAAGTACATCAAAAACCAAGACAGGCTAGACCTCTTTCACCAGTTATCCAAGTTCTTAATGCAAAGGAAATTAAAAGTAGTACTCCAGTGAATACACAAATGATAAGAAAGCAAAATAGTTTTATTGCTGATCCAGAGAAACTTTTACTGGTCTGGATAGATCAAACCAGCCATATTATTCACTTAAGCCAAAGCATAATTCAGAGCAAAGCCCTAACTCTTCAAATCTGTGAATGCTGAGAAAGGTAAGGAAGCTTCAGAAGAAAAGTCTGGAACTAAAAGAGGTTGGTTCATGAGATTTAAGGAAAAGAAACCATCTGCATAACATAAAAGCACCGGGTGAAGCAGTATGTGCTCATGCAGAAGCTGCGGCAACTTATCCAGATTTAGCTAAGATAATTAATGAAGGTGGCTACATTAAATGACAGATTTTCAATGTAGACAAAACAGTCTTTTATTGGAAGAAGACGGCGCCTAGTACTTTCATAGCTAGAGAGAATCAATGCCTGGCTTAAGCTTCAAACAGGCTGATTCTCTTGTTAGGGGCTAATGCAGATGGTGACTTCAAGCTAAGCCAATGCTCATTTACCATTTTGGAAAATCCTAGGTCCCCTAAGAATTATGCTAGAGAGGTTGGAAGATGACGGCAGAGTAGGAGAACCCTAGGTTCAGCTGGTCCCATGAAGACAACTAGATAACAATCAAATCATCCTAAATACCCCAGAAATCAACCAGAAGACTGGTAGAACAAACTATAGCTAAATGTAGAGCAGAGGCCACATCAAAGAAGGTAGGAAGTAAGGAGATACGGTTTGGGAGAAACACGGATTATGGCCCTGTGGTGGGTAGGGAGCTGCAGTCATAGAGAAGGGCAAGAGACAGACTAGAGCTCACACGGAAGATGAATCCCAATAGCAATTGCCTTGAAAAGCAATAGGGTCTGAATTTCGTGAATTCTTGCAACCAGTGGGGCTTGAAGCCTGGAATTTTAAAGATCAATGGGTTTGGCTGGGAGAGACCCTGGAGGGCACTGGGGTCACTCTTGGAGAAAAGGCAGGATAAACAGCCTGTGAACCTACAGCATGGAAACAGTGATCTGAAGAATGCCTGGAGCACACAGTGGGGAGGTTATCTGCTCATCTCCCACCACGTCCCAGACAGGCAGTGTTCACAGAGAGACCCCTCCAGGAACAAAAGAACTTACAGGCACCATGTCCAAACCCTTCGGGATACTGGGGAAACAGTTCTAAGAGGCAAGTTTATAAAGGCCAACCTCAACAACAACAAAAAAAACTCAAATAAACAACCTAACCTTACATCTACAGGAGCTAGAAAAAGAACAAGAAAACCCAAAACCAGCAGAAGGAAGGAAATAATAAAAATTAGAGCAGAAGCTTGCTCCATCTCAGGACTGTGACTGGGATCTCCAAGATTTGGACCCCATATCTTCAAGTTTCCACCTTGATCCAGACATCATTAACACTGTCCCTCTGGTTTTTTTGTTTGTTTGTTTTAAGATTTTAATTATTTGAGAGAGACAGAGAAAGCAGGAGCAGGGGGAGGAATTGAGAGAGAGGGAGAGGGGAGCTGACTCCCCTGCTATGCATGGAGCCCCAGTGGGGCTGATCCCAGGACCCTGAAATTATGATCTAAGCCAAGGTCAGATGCTTAACCAACTGAGCCAATCAGGCGCCCTGTTCCCCTGGTTCTTGACCCAGTGTGCACCTCGGCCCCACCAAAGCCCCAGACCTGACCCCCTCTCATTCAGGCTCACTCCTACACCCAAGGTCCTGGCCACTAGCCCCATGGTGCTCCCTGCACCTGCCAGCCCTCTCCAACCCTTCTCCTGACCGGATTATGGTCGAGCCTTCTGCTGCTGCTCTGGACTGAGCCAGTACAGCCACACCCACAGTGGCAAGAAGCCAGACTGCTGCCTGACTTGCAGTAAGTCGTCCAGCCATCGCGCCGCACTGGCACAGCACCGCGGCATCCACACCGGCCGGTGGCCCGACCCGAACGCCGTCTGCAGCAAAGCCTTCAGTTGGCACTCCACACTGCTGAAGCACTGCGGCGGCCCCAGCCCCAAGAAGCCGCAGCACTGCCCCGTGTGTGTCAAGGCATTCGGTGAGGTTTGCAGCTAGCGCGGCACCTGCGCATGCAAGTGCCCAGTGTGCACCAAGGGCTCAGGCAGGGCTCAGCGCTGTTGAAGCACCTGAGAGTGCACACCGGCGAGCGGCCATTCCCATGGCTGCAATGCGGCAAGGTCTCCGGCCAGAGCTCAGCACCTTGGTAACACCAGTGCTTGGGCGCGCGCGCACGCGCGGGCGCACACACACATAACACATACACACACGGACGCACGGCAGAGCGCCCCTACCGCTGTCCCCACTGCCACAGGCCTTCGGCCCAAGCTCCAACTTGCTGCATCACCTGCGAATCCACACCGGCAAATGGTCCTATGCCTGTCCCCACTCTCCAAGGCCTTTGGTGCGAGAGCTCCTCCCTGCTGCAGCACCGGCATATGCATTCCGGGGTGTGGCCCCTACCGCTGTCAGCTCTGTGGCAAGGCTTTCTGACAAGCCTCCAGCCTCACCACGCACAAGTGGGTGTGTGAGGGTGCAGCTACAGCTGCCACCACAAGCCAGGGCCTCAACCCTGCTCTAATGTTGAGGCCAGAGCGGGTCTCCCTCCTGGGTCCTGATGCTCTCTCTTCCTGCCTCTGTCCTGGGCCACAGCCCTGAAGCCAGCTCTGGCCTTGGTCCTGACCCTAACTCTGTGCAGGGCTCCCTCCCTAATCCCACTCCAAAGTTGTTTCTGGCTCTGAATCTACCCTCACTCCTGATTCTGTCATATCTTCTGACCCTAAGGCTCGTCACAAGGCCAATCCTGACTTGTGGCCAGCCTTGGCCATGGATCTGGTACCACCCCTATCAGGATCCTGTGCCCAGCCCCAACTCTGAGTCTCACCCTGAACCCTGCTCTCCCACCCATGACACTGTCAGTCCAGCCCTCCCTACTGGCTAGAGTCCTGAGTGAGTGTAGGAGCAAGGGACACTGCTGGGGCCCCATGGCTGAAGTGGACTCCCAACACTACAGTGAGATATCATATCACACCTGTTAGAATGGTTAAATTTAACAACACAAGGAACAACAGGTGTGGGTGAGGATGTGGAAAAAAAGGAACACTCTTGCACTGTAGGTGGGAATGCAAACTGGTGCAGCCATGGTAGAAGACAGTATGGAGGTTCATCAAAAAGTTAAAAATAGAACTATTCTATTATCTGGTAATCCCACTACTGGATATTTACCCAAAAAAAATATCAAAAAAATTCAAAAGGATACATACACACCAATGTTTATAGAGCATTATTTACAATAACCAAATTATGGAAGCACCACAAGTATCCATCAACTGATGAATGGATAAAGAAGAAGTGGTAGGGCGCCTGGGTGGCTCAGTTGGTTAAGCGACTGCCTTCAGCTCAGGTCATGATCCTGGAGTCCCGGGATCGAGTCCCACATCAGGCTCCCTGCTCAGCGGGGAATCTGCTTCTCCCTCTGACCCTCTTCCCTCTCATGCTCTCTGTCTCTCATTCTCTCTCTCTCTCAAATAAATAAATAAAATCTTTAAAAAATAATAAAAAAAAAGAAGAAGTGGTATATATACACAGTGGAATATTACTCAGCCATCAAAAAGAATGAGATCTTGCCATTTGCAATAACATGGATGGAGCTAGAGAATATAATGCTAATTGAAATAAGTCACTTAGCAGAAAGACAAATACCATATGATTTCACTTACATGTGGATTAAAGAAACAAAACCAACAGGCAAACGTGGAAAAAAGGAGAGAGACAAACTAAGAAACAGATTCTTAATTATAGAGAACAAACTGATGGTTACCAGAGGGGAGGAGGATGGGAGGTTGGGTGACAGAGGTGATGGGATTAAGGCATGCACCTGTTGTGATGAGCACCGGGTGATGTATCAACAATTCTGTTGAATCACTATACAATCACTAAATAAAAAATAAAATAACAAAAGTTGAGTAAATCAGAGATCTAATGTACAACATGGTGTTTACAGTTAACAATACTGTTGTATACTTGAAATTTGCTAAGAGAGTAGATCTGGAGTGATCTCACCACAAAAAAAAAAAATTTAAGACAGCTAAACCTCAAATATCAAAAGTGAGTGTCAACAGTTAATAGGAGTATCATTGTAATCATAATTTGAATCTTCCATCTGTCAAAAAAAAGGCTTTTCTCAACTAAAAAATAGGAAATTATTCTTTGGAACATATCCGTGTCCCTTTGAAATTTTTAAAAAAGCTGTTCATAAACAATTATTTAATTATATCCTAGTTTCCTATTTATTATAGAAGCTACATAATCAAACTGAAAGAAGATTTTAAACCCAGATATTCAAAGCCAGGCATGTCCAATAGAACTTTCTAACAACAACCACATTGGTTACTAGGCATTTGAAATGTGGCTCATGTGACAGCAGAATTGATTTTTTAATTAAATTGAACTCAATTTTAATTTTAGTAGCCACACTGACTAGTGACTAGTGATTGGACAGTGCCATTTCAAACTATTAAAAATTTCAAATAGGAGAAAGCTGACTAGACTATTTGATTTGATTTAGAAACTCTATGTACAGTATAATATCTGAACCATTATCTTACATGCATTACTAAGTATATACCAATTCATTGTTTTGAATTCTATTAACTCTTATATTTTACTTACTTGGCTTTAGACAATGTGGTCCTCGAGGAGTATTTAGACTGTTGTTTAAGGTGATTTTTCCGTGCTTCTAGTTTTTGCACCTGTTTTACTACTTGTGCAATGTTTAAGGTTTTGTCAGGTGCTGGAAACTCTACCTCTAAAAAAGTTTGATCTTTACTTATCTAAAATGATAAAATTAGCCAGTTACTTAGGAAATACCCATTTTGCTCCTATACCTCAAAGAAATGTCATCATTTACCATATTTAAATAATTTTTATAATACTCTTATCTATAGCTATAATCAAATACTGATATTTTATAAATATAGTTTTATGAGTAATTACCTAGCAACAGAATGATAGCTAAGTGTTGACTTTTACATGTCAAAACTCAATGCAATCTTCTGTTTATTATCTAAATATGTAAGAATTTTAAGCAAGGTCAATAATAATTGAAACAGGATCAGTCTTACCTATGATAAATATGGAAAGACAGTAATTTGCTCTCAAAAGCAATACCTTCTACTACTAACTCCCAGAAGTTAATATATAAAAGTCTATGAAACTGGCACTCTTTGGTCTGTCTGGGAAAAACTGAGACCCATTTGGGTGTCTCAAGACTTTTAGAATAGACCAAGCTACAGAATAATGAGCAATCAGGAGAATCAGTGAGATCCACAGAATAATATGATAGACCATAACTGATATTCTAGGTATTAAGTCTGTTTAAAGAAAGCTGAGCAAGATGAGTGCCTCCCCACTAACAACAACAACAACAACAAAAGCACAATGAAAGAAACACAGAAACAGCCAATATGTGTAGACATAAGCAGAGTAGCAATTGAGGTAAAAAAATATATATATATTTTTTTTTTTACGAAACAGCAGAGATCTACCTATGTATATATACACTTCCAACCCTAATGAGGGGAGTGGAAGCTAAAAAAAAAAGAAGAAGAAATAGTAGTCAAGACATAGACCTAAAACCTAGCAAAGAGAAATTCTAGCAATGGGATTTAAAAGAGACTTCATTTTAGTTATGCCTACTTGAAATGGAATTAGGATATAATAGCAGGAAGTATATACTGGGCAATGAACTAAAAGTCTGAGATTGAGGGATGCAGAACAAGTGGAAGGGAAATAGGAGATGTATGGAAACTCTATGGACAAAGGCATGATCCCAAAAAGAGGACATAATTTGGTATATCAGATATATTGCCAAATGATAAATGGAGTCTAAAAGTGATGTAGCCAGTTATCAATTTATTGCCTCTCATCTAAAAATCCATTCTTCATTGTCCTGCTTATAACAGTGGAACAATTCTCTCTTGACAGGTATCATGTTAACCATTACTGATAGAAGGTCCTAGACACTACAGAAAGAAGCAGCTTTCTTCCTAACTCTGTTACCTCTGTCTGTTTAATCCTAGGACACTGCATAATATACCTAGTAGAGCACACTCCAGAAAGTTTCAACAGCACCACCCCCATAGGTGTCTTCCTCACAAGGTCCCTGGCATGACTCATTCCCTTGGGCAGCTTCTCCCAGAACTTCTTAGCAAAATCTACCAGTGCAGAACCTCCCTCTGGGAAGCTTTCTAGCATACCACCCTTGTAGGCAGCAAGAGGTATAGTACCTCCCTGGAAGATGGCTTTTCCCGGCACCACAGAGGATGGCTTCCCAATGTACTGCCATCATGGGCAGCTTCCCAGTAAATCCCGGTTCCCACCAGCATGGCACCCCAGCAAACTTCTCTGCCACTCAGTGATGACAGCTGCTCCTTCTTCACAGGTGCAGACCTTAGCCCTGGGTGAGGAAGAGGGTAAGGATAGGGGTATTAAGATTTGTTCCTTCCTTAAGTGCTATGCTTCCATCCTATCATTAGAGGCTGCTCTTCATACTTTCTATCCCTGTATTCTTTACAGTTGTCTTTATCACTTATTCTCCTGTTATAATAATTCTTTATATTAAACTTTACCTATTCAGATTACTGTGTAGTTTTTATCTTTTGATCAGTCCCTAACTGATACATTGTATTTCCCATTAGGAATTCAATTTAAACTTAAGTCCTTTCTGGGAGAAGAGATGATGTCACAGAACTAAAGGAATATAGAATATGGAATAGACAATGACATTATAGGCTATAAGATTTCATCAAAGAGACATACTGGGCACAGGTTCCAGCAGAACAACTCTGAAGCTCATAGGGTACATGCTTACCCTACATTTCTCTGCTATGGCTCACCATACATTATGAAGGCTTCCACATGTATCTTGTTACTGCAACAAGACCACAAGCATATAAACCTGCATGTACTAACAATAAAATGTGTCAGCAATAAATATGAGATTATTCCACAATTCTCAAATGTTAGTGTACATAATAATCCTCTAAAAATCCTATTAAAAAGTGGATTCCTAACCTATATACACACAAGAAAACTTAAATTCAGTAAGTCTGACTTGGAGTTCTGAAATGTGCATTTGTAACAGGTATCTTGGGTGATATTTAAACATGATCCATCAAATATATTTTAAGAAACACTCATCAAAAGGCAGAAGATAATACACTTTGGCAATGTATCTGATACACCAAATTAAGTAATTATTCAAAAGAATTAATTATGGCTCTAAAAACTAAAAAATTTAGAATTCCAGATCAGAAGTTTAGTTGTATACTGAAGATTCCTCTTGATGCACATAAATGCATAAATCAGGATTTCAGGAATACCCGAAATGATGGTAACTGGCACTAAGATGTAAACAGTAGATACAGAGAAAAATAGACACATATGACAGCTATTTAGGTTATAGAATCAAAAGGACTCAGGAATGTACTGAATATTAGGAAATTGAGTTGTCAAGGTAAATCACCGCACTTCTGGTTTACCCAAATGAATAAATACTACTACCATTCACTGAGATAGGGAATACTGGAGGAGGTATAAGTTTAGGGGTAAAAAATTCTTGGTTTTGACTCTTTGGGTTTGAGGTGAAATAGTCTAGAGGAGTTCAGAAGAGAGTTTTGAGCAAGAGGTGTATATTTCTAAATTACCAGTATAAAGGTAATACTTAAATAGAAAAACTGGTTGAGGTTGCCTGCAGGGAGAGTTCAGAGTAAAGAAAAAAAAAGGAAGGCATAGAATGAAATCTCGAAGCACTCCAATATTTACTGGTTAGAAAAGGAAGATGTCTCTACAAAGGAAACACCTAAAGAGGTAAAACAATAGCCAGGAAAGTGTAATTCACAAAAGCCAAAGAAATAGTGTTTTAAAAATGAGGAAATGATCAACAATGTCAACTATGGCTGAGGTAAAGAAAATTGCCTATTGAATTTAACAGTATAAAAATTGCAGAGAACCATACAGAATGTTTTCTTTGTTATGGAGAGAGAATCCAATCTGGGTAGGCTGAGAATGCTTTGGAAATAAGAAGAGTATATATATACAGTAAATTGATATCAAAAAAATTTAGTACTGAACCAGTAAAGTATGGCCCTTAGCTGAACTGTTAAATTTTTATAGAAAATCCATAGACAACTCCAATTGTTTTCATAACCCTAGTTGGCCCAGATTAACCTCCTCACTAAGTGCCAATTTACCAGTTAACAATTTTTTTTATAAAAAAAACTCAACTAGTTTCATTGTTCCTAAACTGTCTGCAAGGCTTTTCTCTCCTCTCTTTTTAAAAATTTTTTTAAAAGATTTTATTTATTTATTTATTTATTTATTTATTTATTTATTTATTTGAGAGAGAGAGCAGGAGCAAGGGGAGGGGCAGAGGGAGAGGGAGAAGCAGGTTCCCTGCTGAGTGGGGAGCTGGACAAGGGCTGGATCCCAGAACCCGGAGATCATCACCTGAGCCGAAGGCAGACACTTAATGAACTGAGCCACCCAGGTGCCCCTTCTCTCCTCTCTTTTATAAATCTTGGGTTTTGCCTTTATTCTCCAACAATAATCTAATAACTATTTTCCTCGTGAATAAATTTGCATACAAAATGGTTTTTAAAAGTTGGTTATGAACGGCAAAAGAGAAATAGGCCTGTAACTGTAGGGAATGTGGCATCAAATTAGAAAGATATGAGCATATTTAAAACCTGAAAGGAATGACACAATTGATTAGGAAAGGCTTAATATACAAGAATAATTAATCAAATTTCTTAAGATCCAAAACAAGAATGAGTTTTATGTAGGAAGAGGAATAATATCTGTTTAACAAGAGGAAAGGAGTGTAGAATGAGCATGGATATAAATAAATTTTTATCTGATAGCAGAAAATGAAGGAGTTCTAACTGGTGGCTTGTATTTTCAAGCATTTTAAGTGACTGGCTGACAGTGAAAATGAAAATGGGACAGAGGGAATGTGGGTTTGAGATGATAGATGAAAAGGATTGAAATTCATTTTGGAAATACAAAGGAATTGCCAGGCAGTATTTGGAATAATTATGTCTAATAACTGTGTCATTTCATCAGTGTTTCACAGCTAAGCTAAAGGCCCAAAGAGTAAATAATTGCATTTATTCAAGGTTAAATTTTGTTAGACAAGTGCAATGAAAAAAGCAAGAGGTAAGGGAGAGTAGGAAGTTAAGAAATTCACTGTTATTAAGTACATATTCTCCAAGCTGAAAAGAACAATGAGTAAAAAAACTACAGGAAGGTTAAGAAATGAATGCACTAGTGGTCTTGATAAAGTCAAAGAGTGACCAGAATAGTATTTAAATAATAACTGATAAGATAGAAATTTGTAGTTTAAGAATAAGTTGCCTGAATTAGTGATTTTTAAAATAAAGCAATTTGGTTAATGATAAGGTTTGGAGTATGACAAGAAGTGAGGTTCAAAGGTAAAGAAAGACACTAGTTCTGGGGAGATGAGTCAAGGAACTGAGAGGCTAGGATTTGGGATGGGTCTTCACATTGACAGGACTAAGAATAAAAAGAGGAAAGTGAGACAAATCCATGAATAAAACAGAATAAAAAGAAGTTGGTAGATGAAAGTAAGAAGGCAGAAGGCAAGCTAGACTGTTCAAAGTTGCAAAGTATGCATTTTACAAGAGGGGAGAACAGCGGACTTCACCTCAGTCCTCCATCTGTGGAAAGATAATGATCAATCTACCATAGTCAAAGAAGAACTACTAACACTCTTCCAAGGTCAACCATATCTATCCTAAAGCAAATAGTATACAGTCCATAAAAGTCTACTCTGGAGCCAAAGGTAAAATAATAAGAGGGTGCTAGGAGATAGTTACAATTTCTATCTTTACTTTTTAATTTTATATCCCAAATAAGTGAACCTATTTAATTTAAAGTACCTGGGATTCAAAAGTGTCTAATTGGACTAAACCATAAGCATAACCAAGGGAGAACAAGAATCATTCGATAAATCACTGAGGCTACCCTAGAAATCATTCTGCTATATTAACAGCATAAAGTCTTTCCCAAAACAGAATTAAAAACCCTTAAGGTTAGAGACCACTAGCTTTCAAAATGGTCATAAAACATCTGAAAATCTAAAGTACAAAAAAGAAATCATTAAAATAACATTAAGTTTAAAGAAAACCGATATATAATTTTATAAGTAGATTATCATATTATACATGCTTTTTTAAATACAGGAGAAATGTTTAAGTTAGTAAGTTTTCTCTTGTCACTTACTCTTCTATGTGAATTAGGAAAGAAAGATAATTTAATTTTAGGAGAAAGAATGTGTCAAACTCAGAGAATTCCAGATACATACAGGAATGTAGTGTGTAATCACTGAGAAACATTTGTTCTACCCATTTGTTCCTTCTCTATCTAAATTAAAAGATTATAAACAATGATTATTCAAAATTTTAATATCAATTTAATTCACAGTTAAGAAATGTTATACTTACCTCTTCCATCTGATTGACCTGTTGCTGAAACCACTTAAAAAAAAAAAAGGAATACTTATTGGCAAGTTATTCAAACCTATAGGTACACGTGAATGCATTTGTGTGTGTGTGTGCGTGTGTGTGTGTGTGTGTGTGTGTTGTGTCTTCATCTATCAAATGTTAGCCCTGAACCAAACATTATCCTAGGGTTCAGAATGGGGCTAATGCAACATACAACTCAAACATAACATTTTTAAATATGTATAGTAGCAAGTTTGGGAATTCTTTTTACTTCCTCAAAACTTAGAAACCTCTTCATTAATATGTATTTCTGTATTAAATGTTAGTAGGTTTAAACTGTAATATATTGAACATACCTTAAAAAGAGATTCCAAAATCTGGAAGATAAAGTTTTAATTAAAACATTTAAAAAATAAAAATTCTTCATAGTGTGTGATGTAATAAGTCTCTATAATTCTCAGTCAGAAAAATTCACAAATTACTAAAACTATAACTCTATAACCCAAAATCATAATATGTTTATAATTACAGATATAGTTTTTAGTATATCTTGCATAGATAATTCTAGAAAAATTTCCATCTTTATAGATCTATATTAGGATACCCCAAAATAATTCACATATATGATTTCATATATTTTCTTAATATAGATAAGGAAAAAATTAAGATTCCTCTTGGAAGAGATTTTTTTTCATATAGCAGAGAATATAGTAATGAAAAGCATTATCATAACATTATCTCTTCAATGAGACTTTGCTCTGATAATGGGCCTAAAAATCAAGATATAAAATATTATACTACTACTTGATACTTTTGATTGAAAATGCAAAGAACTGGTTTGGGAGATTGTGACAGAAATTGAATATCCAAAATGAATCATACAATCCAAAATACCAATATTTAACACTTAGAAAATGTAATGTTAAAATGATTATGTTTGCCACACAAAATAAAAGCCCATTCTATCATATCCAGATAAGAGTTTTTAATCACTTTGTTAAAGAAAAATATTACTACATTCATTCAGGCAGTAAAAAAAAGTTACTTAACTAAAAAATCAGGCTAGTCTAAAATTTCTCTTCTGTCACACTAACTCTAAATCAATAGCTCAAAAATTGTGGTCCCACAATCAAAAGCATCAGCATCACCTAAACAAAGATATTCATTGGCAATGTAAATTCCTAGGCCCTACCCCAGTCAACTGAATCAAAAACTCTGGGAGTAGGGCCAGCAATTTGTGTTTTAACTAGCCCTCCAATTGATTCCACTGCACACTAAAGTTTGAGAATCACTGTGCTAAGTAATAAGAAATCAGAAATCTAAGCAAAAAGGGCTGAGATAATCAAGAAAACATACCAAAGTAAATAAATATCCAAGACTGAAGGAAAATATTTTCAGCTACATAAGGATTTAGAAACTAATGTTCACTGAGGCATACTACCTTGTAATAAACTCATTCTTCCCACTATCAAGAGATTCCAAGGTTCTCAAAACCTCTTTTGCTATCTCAGAAGATGATGGGAAACCATCATATATCAATTCATCCACTCATTAGAGCCAGAGTTCAACAACTATTCAAACCACTAAAAGCCTGGAGAACAAAGGCTTTCTCAACTACTGAGATATCAGTTCTAGTAATGTTAAATCTAAACATTATTGATAAAAGTGGAAACAGACCAGAAGTGAGAAAATCAATTTTAGGCAAACACTAAATAGAAAGAGAAAATTCTATGAAAATATGGAAGAATATATATAAAGTTCCCCAGGAAAATATTAAACTTCCACTCTAATTTTAAAGATATTATCATGTAAGTGTGAAGCCAAGACAAAACTATTTTCAGAAATTCAAAGGCTCAGAAATGTTTTCACCACACATTCTAACCTAGCAAACAAAAATAAAATTTATTCTTAGAAAAGTAAACACAAGAAAAAACTATAGGCAAGGTAACCAATAAATAACCCTCCTTTTTTTGTTTCAACTTTTAATTTAAATTCCAATTAGTTAGCATATAGGGTGATATTAGTTTCATGAGTAGAATTCTGTGATTCATCATTAACATATTACACCCAGTGCTCACCACAAGTGCCCTCCTTAATACCCAGCACCCATTTAACCCATCCCCCTGCCCACCTCCCCTCCAGTAACTCTCAGTTTGTTCTCTACAGTTAAGAATCTGTTTTAAGGTTTACTTCTTTTTTTCCCCTATGTTCATCTGTTTCATTTCTTAAATTCCACATATGAGTAAAATCATATGGTATTTGTCTTTCTCTGACTCACTTATTTCACTTAGCATAATACCCTCTAGCTCCATCCACGTTGTTGCAAATGACAAGATTTCATTATTTTTTATGACTAATATCCCATTGTGTATATATACCACGACTTCTTTATCCATTCATCAGTAAATGGACCTTTGGGCTCTTTCCATACTTTGGCTATTGTTGATAATGCTGCTGTAACATAAACATCAGGGTACATGTCTCCTCCCCTTTGGATTAATATTTTTTTATTCTTTGAATAAATACCAAGTAGTGCAATTGTTAGATCGTAGGGTAGTTTTATTTTTAACTTTCTGAGGAACTTCCATACTGTTTTGCAGAGAGGCTGTAATTCCACCAACAGTGTAAGAGGGTTCTCCGTTCTCTGCATCCTCACCAACATCTGTTGTTTCCTGTGTTGTTGATTTTAGCCATTCTGACAGGTGTGAGGTGATATTCATTGTAGTTTTAATTTGTATTTCCCTGATGATGAGTGATGTTGAGCATTTTTTCATGTGTCTGTTAGCCATCTGAGTAAATACCCCACTCTTAAAAAAAATTGTGGCTAATGGGGCTGGCACTCAATGCCACTGTCATAAAAGACTTCCTAATGAGAAGATGGCATAATATTTTTTAAAGTGAAATAATAACCTGTAACCAAAATTCCAGATAGGCATATTGTGTCACTGAAGCCAAGAGAAGTCCTGAAGGACTGGCAGCTTTTGCCTTTGTTTCATCTAGCTCAAAACTCTCTCGAGGCAAAAAACAAAGCAAAATAAAAACAAAAGAACAAAAAACCCAGGTAAGTAGAGGGCATTCCTCAACACTGAAAGGCAAATAAACAAGCTACAGCTCCCTGAGAAAAAGATTGCCTTTGTGGCAAATAATATACATGTCAACAGCCTAGAAGAAAAAGCTGGGTAAAGAGTTACTTTGGAAAATAAGGATTTTGAAAAGATCCCATATATAAGGGAGAATCTAGTAAGCCACACACTTGCCCAGGCCAAGACTCATGCTCAGAAAAGTATCTGAATGAACATTAAACTTCCACCTTTGGCTTATCTTTATCTCAGAGCAAGCAGAAAATGAAGGCTAACTCAAGATTTGTGAACAGCCTGGCTAAGCTTTGAAGGAGTGCCCCAACACAGAGCCAATCTTAAAGGAACAGGAAAATTTTTTTTCTCCTTTTCTTCTTTATTTATTTGTGTGTGTGTGTGTGTGTGTGTGTGTCTCAAGGCATTTAAGGAAATCTTTCTTAAATCCACCAGCTGACCACAAGCAACAGGAAGAGAGGCCTGAGAGACAAAATATTTAATCAAGGAATACAGACTTTCAAAATAAATAGTTAGACTTCTGGTTTCCAATCCAGCATGCAAGGAGGCTGGATTAGTCACACAGTCCTAACAATAAAAACTGAATGAACTGGAAATCTACAACTCTTCTTATATCTATCACAGAATTGAGGTCACTGAGCATATCACAGCACCAAAAATTAAAGAGACAAACAGGTGATACTGAGAATCAGAAATTATCAGAGCAGAAATCCATGAGAACAAACCTGAGGAATAGCAGTGGGGTAAGAAAACCCAAACTGTAGGTGAATTGTTGGAAGCCCAGCATGGATAAGTTCAAGAGTTAAAAACTTCAGTGGGGGCAAGTTTTGAGGAGTTTTTTTAAAAGCTAAGCATACTCTTAACCATATTACCTAGCAATCATTCTCCTTGGTGTTTGATCAAATGAGTTAAAAACTTATATCCATGCAAAAACCTGCACACAGATGTTTATAGCAGATTTATTCATAATTACCAAAACTTGGAAGCAAACAAGGTGTCATTCAGTAAGTGAATAAACTGTGGTACAACTATACAATAAATTATTATTCTACACCAAAAAAAAAATGAGCTGTCAATCTATGAAAAGACATGTAGGAATCTTAAATGCATATTACTAAGTGAAAGAAGATATTCCAACGATATGACAGTCTGGAAAAGGAAAACTAAAGACATAAAAAGATCAGTGGCTATCAGGGGTTGGATAGGGAAAGGAAGATGAATATGTGGAGCACATAGGATTTTTAGGGCAGTGAAACCATTCTGTATGATACCATAATTGTACATACATATCATTTTACATTAATTAAAACCCATAGGATGTACAACACCAAGATAAAGCCTCATGTAAACTATGGACATTGGGTGATGATGATGTGTCAGTATAGTTTCATAGATCATACAAAGATACACTCTGGTGCATGATGTTGATAATAGGGACGACCCATGCAAGCATAGGCATAGGGAGCATATGGAAACTCTCTGTACTATATGCATTTCTGCTGAGAACATAAAATTGTTCTAAAAATGAAGTCTATTGAAAAAATAGTAGTTTAGAAAAGTCACTAAACAAAAATAACAAAACTTAATACCCGGAGTTACCACATAAAATATTCAAAATATCTTGTTTTCAACAAAAAAATTATGAAGCAAGCATTCAATGAAACAAAATATTGTGACTTATTTGAAGGAAAAATAAACAAACAGATATTGTTCCTAAGGAAGCTTATACACTGGACTTAGTAGAAAAAAACTTTAAATCTACTGTTTTAAATACACTCAATGAGCTAAAGGAAATCATGCACAAAGAATTAAAGGAAACATGGGGCACCTGGGTGGCTCAGTTGGTTAAGCGACTGCCTTTGGCTCAGGTCATGATCCCAGGGTCCTGGGATCAAGCCCCGCATCTGGTTCCCTGCTCAGCGGGAAGCCTGCTTCTCCCTCTCCCACTCCCCGTGCTTGTGTTCCCTCTCTTGCTGTCTCTCTCTCTCTCTCTCTCTCTGTCAATTAAATAAATAAATAAAATCCTAAAAAAAAAAGAATTAAAGGAAACAAACAGTATTCTAACAAATATAAATAAAGTTATAGAAATTACAAAAAGAAACCAAATTCTAGAAATGAAAACAAAAAACTGAACAAAAGTAACAATAACTGAAATGAAAATTTTACTAGAGGGTTTTGATAGCAGATTTGAGCAGGCAAAAGAATCAGTCAATTTAAAGACAGATCAATTGAAATTATCCAGTCTGAGAAGAAAGAAAAATGAATGAAAAAAAGGGACAGAGCCT